CAAGTGAGGGTTATTTTGGAAAGAAATGATGGGAGAATCCCCTATTGCAGTTCAAAACTGATCCCAATAAAATCAAAAGAATTTGGAAACCATCCAGTGGATGTTTGAAATAAATCCAACTTTAAATTGGGTGGATTTCAGTTGCACTTCTATTATTGTAGAAACCTCATGTTTCAAGTCCTAGGGACTGCATACATTCTCAGTAGCACTCAGATCTTTTAAGAAATATAGCTCCTATAGTTCCTGATATTACTAGTTTTTGTAAAATACACACAGGGCATGCATCTGAAACCTGATTTACACGGATTCACAAGGAATGGACTGTAGAAACTTCATTCATTGTCACTGAAGTTTAGGAAGGAGAAGATGAGGGAGGTTAGAGATATAACAAAAAAAGCTCTGAATCATTCCAGACATCAGACAGCATCTAAGCTCAATCCACCTAGTTCTAAATTTGGGTTAATCCAGACAGGATTGAGAAACAATCCAAAATTCGAACCCAAACAAAGGATATTGGAACAAATCAGAGAACCAGAACACCTTTTTGTTATGTCAAATGTATTTTGAATAAAAGCTTTCTTACACTCTTTCTACCCAGAATGACCTAAGGCTGGATATAGCCAAATGATTTAAGATCTGAGGATACCATAATTCCTATGAAAATATTACAATATGCAAAATAGTTTTCCCTAAGCAAAAAGTACCTACAACTTAATGCTTTCTGGCTTTAGCTGCAGCAGTTGCAGAAAGGGAACAGCTGAAGAAATGGATTTTTCAGAGTCCCATCCAAAGACTATTAGTTCTAAGTAAAATTATTGCATGAAGGTGGTAAATTAATGGTCAACTCTGAAATCCAAATTCTTTCTTGCTTAGCTCTGACTGTGCTCCAGGATCTCTGTCTAATTAGGTTCTGTAGAAAGGAGTAATGTCTGATAAATAATTAATTTATTATGCTTCTGAATAGGAACCACAATATATCTTGTTGAAGGTATAACGGCCACTGAATGGCCACTGAATATCCCTAAATAGTAGTAAATTGCATTTACCTGTAAAGAAATAATGTAGCATAAAAAAAAACTGAAAAGAAAATCAGAATGATGGAAATGTTAAGAAAATCATAAGCATTTTCTGAACTGACCTTCACTTGCAGTCATTGTATGATAAATGTTTAAGTGTTCTTGAGTCAAGGAATAGCCTTGTGCAAATATACACGTGCAAAAGATAACACATATATACAAATATGCATGCTTAAATGATATAAAATTTGTTTGTCAGCTTTAGGGGTTGGAAATCTATTTATAGCTGGATAGGTTTCAATTAATAATAAAGTGTGTGGTTACCCATATAGTTAAGAAACATATTTAGCTTTTCTTAAAAAAACCACATTAAGTTATTTAGGATAAGATGCATGTTAATACATGAATCTTATTTATTTTTTTCTATCATTTTTGTAGTCTTTTTAGAGCAGTCTTTGTGAGTGGAATAATAGTTGTGGATAGGAAAATGCTTCAACCATTCATCTTATTAACTTGATCCCTGCTTGAACCTCTCCTACCTGTGGATGAAAAGATTTAGCAAAATACTGGAGCAAGTCAAAACCTTAGAAAACAGAACAGAGTGATATGGTCAAGTATCCAGTTCCTTTATTTGCAATTATTTCTCCATTCTAACATCCAACCATTTTTCAATTATAAACAACATAGTCAAAAACATTTTGTTTGTGTCTTTGAGTTAGTAATGACTCCTTTGATCACCTGAAGAAGTCACTGGAGTTTTCTTGACAAAGTTTAGAGAAGTGATTTGCCCTTGCCTGCTTCCTAGGGTTGAGAGAAACTGACTGGCCCAAAGTCACCCAGCTGGCTTTTCATCTAAGGTGGACTATAACTCACAGTCTCCCAGTTTCTAGCTTGATCCTTTAATCACTATACCAAACTGGTTCTCTAGGAATATGCTCTTGCATAGAATATGTGATATAGTCTTAATAAGGATTCTTTAAACAGTTACGGTAATCCAGCAAATTTTACATGCATGCATAATTCACACTGATAACTTTCTACAATATAAGAAACATGAGATGCAAATGCACATTCCAGGTAATAACACCTGAGTGTTCTTTTAAGTCTAAACACTTTCGAGTTGTAGAAAAGTGAAGGCTGAATACCTAAGGAGTCTGATAAGGCAGAACCCCAGCATTTAATATCAGGAGAACATTAAACATACAAATGCCATTTCAAATCTTAAATCAGAGGCTGATTTCTCATTCATTTTACTTTAAGTAAGATCTTGTTCTTCAGTCCTTGGTTTCCAAAGACTAGCCAAGAAACACAACTATTCCACTTTTTAAAACTCTTTTAAAATGCCCTCTCACAAATCCTGGATGGATCGTCTCTGAGCTTTGCAGTCAAACTGGACAATGGAACGACCACCTGTTAACTGCTAACAATGTGTCATTACCACTTCTCAGGCCTTTTTTAAAGCAATTTTGGCTCTGGCTGCTGATAATTCTGGCAATGATACTGGTGTGAACATTAAGGGCATGGAAAGCCAAAGGCAAAAAACTGACAACACAATTTGTGCTTTGACTACTAATAAGTAAGCAAATGCTAACATTTTTCTAATTCCACATAATTACTCCCTCTCAAGGGGCCAAAAGAAAATTTGAAATACATATTTTTAAGGCAATTCAAGCTACGCTGTATAAACATACACACAAAGCTGAAATCCGTGCAAGTTCACAGTGGATTGTTCTTCCTTTTAAAAAGAAAGTTTCAGCACGGCAGGGGCTCCTCACAACTTTTTTTGTGGTTCAAGTGCTGGGTTGTCTGTTAACTTTATCTCATTGGTGGGAACTTGATCTGTCTTCTAAATCATTACTGAAGAGATGTTAGAATTATGATGCCAAGAAGCATAAAAGACAACAACAAATGGTGAGACAGTTTAATGGCTTCCTGCCAGAAAAAATGGCAAAGAGGTAGGGGCCCATGGATTGGAGCTGTTCTCCATGAGCCACTTTTAAGTAGGGTTGAACAAAGGAGAGACAAACGAATCTTTAGCAAGGCTGAAAAGGAGTCAGATTCCCATCCTAATGTGAACACGTTAAATAAAATGTTGATTGCTAGAACAATAAATACATTCAATATTATTTACCCTTAAAATGTTGGGGCATTTGATACAGCCTGCATCAGCTATCGAATTTGCCCGTTTAGCTTCTTAACTAATTGCAGTATAGGTAGCTGACTGAGTTAACCATCTTCCAGAAATAGTATGCATCTGAAAGCTGACACTAAGTGGCTAAGGAAAGCAGATGTTATCTTCTTCATCTTTATGTTCACCTGCCCTCTTACAATGGCACCTGGCTAGGAACAAAATGCTGAACAAAATGCATCAGAGTTGCTGCTAGAGTCAAGGTGATCCTGAGCTATGAGGATCCAGTGATTCATTGCAGTTTCTCTTCTCCCATTTCCTTCCCTCTGTCTGCTTGATAGGACTCAGCATAGGAGCTCATATACTTGACTTCTCTTTAAAAAGTGTGAGGAATGCTGGCTTTTTTGCATCTCAGTAAGTTCTCTAGGACAGAATATATATGCAGAATATCTGGTGGAGTTCTGAGGTATGTAGCCCTGGAGGTGGACCTTTTAATCCAGGCAGAATTGAATCAATGCATTGGTCATTTCCCTTTTTCTTAGTTCAGATAAAATTCTTACATTCTCATGGTCTGCTCACCAGTAAAGTTCCTATGGAACCTATATATTTGGTACAAAGTGGAATTCAAAGTGCTGGCACTTCCTACAAACCCCTTTATAGACCAAATCCTCATTATTTTCTCTAACCGGAGTCTGCTGAGCTTATGAATTCTACCCAAGTGAATATGGTTGGGGTTCTCAAGGGAATGGAGTCAAAGAACTGGATTTTTATGAGTTTGTCTCGACCCAGTGGAATGCTCCTTCCTCCCCTACTTGATACTCTTTCAGAAGGAAATGAAGAGCATCTTCAATAAAGAAGAATATTTGTAGCTCAGGGTTGAAATGAGGGATCCTTGGTGCTCTCTGAGCTTGATTTGTTTTCTTGCAGATGTTTCATTAGCCAAACTAGGTAAATGTCATCAGTGCTAAAGTATCTTTTTCATCAGCTTTACTGAATTGGGTAGGATGTGGCAACATTACTGCTCAGTAGTTGCTTAAATTTATATTGAGTTTACCTTTATTTTTATGGCTTTTTGTTGGTTTTATGGTACTTATGTTTTTATTCTTTGCTTTCTGCTGCTTCTTGTGAACTCTCCAGAATCTATGCTTAAGGTGGCATTCAATGTTTGTGAAATAAATCAGCTGGAAATTTTTTTACATAATGATACAGAGATCATTATCTTGTAAATAATCAGCAATATTTTGAAATAGTTCAAACTGTTTCTGTCATAAATTCATTTATATGTAAAGCGCTAGATCTTTAAGAATATAACAAAAGCTTTGCTGGATCATGCCTTGCATCCAAGCTAATCCAGCATCCTGTTTTCCACAACTGACAACTACATCTCTCCAGGAAACCCAGGAACTAGCTACAAAGGCAAGAGTGTTTCCCTGCTATTTAATAACATATTGCATCTGAACCTGGGAGATGAAATATAGTCCTCCAAAATATTGCTAATTTTGTATGTATAACAATGTTATCACTGTTAGACTAAACAAGATTGGTGCCATGTTTATTTTGGATTCGGTGCTGATGCATCAGGAATTCACAAATTGATGCATGCTCCCTAATGATGCATTAATGCTGCACCCAACATAATTGGCACCCAACACACACTGAACGCAAGCCATGAATTTTTAATCACTCCACCCTCCATAAATTTTTGGTCCCATTTCCCTTCTTCAAGAGCCGTCACAACTAAAGAATTTTGAAAAAAAAAAACCACATTGGAGGGTCTAAAAGTCAAGACAGAACACTGTATCTTACTGACAGAATGTTCTCTATAACTTTTCATCACCCAAAATAATTTTACTTACTTAAAGACTTTCTATTTTCTGTTTTTGGTTCCTTACTGTCGGCATGAACACCCAGTAATTCAGAGCTAGAAGATCTCTGAATTTTGAGCTCGTTTTTCTTTGATGTGTAACTCTTCTCTTTTGGCTAGAAAGATAAAATGATAGAAAATATCCTTAGAAACATTTTGTGTAAATTGATGAAAGTAAGAGAAATTTAGAAAACAAAATAAAAGCAAACAAAGCAAAACAACCCTTTTTTTGTACACGGTAAAAAAAATTCATTTACAGAAGTCACTGTACAAAGTATTTCACAAAAACATGTAACTTAAAATCAGTTTTTATTTCTATAAATAAAAATCAGACATGAAAATATATTGGTTTGAAAACACAGATGAAGTTAAAAATTTTAGGAGACTTAAATGGAACACAATCCAGTAATGTTATGTACTTGAAAAACCCATTTCCATGAACATGTTGACTGCATGCTTAATCAACTTTCTCTGATTCCATCCTCTGAATTCATTGGAAAGTACCTTAACTTCAACTGATTTTTTGTTTATACTTTTAACTAGGTAAGACATTATTTTCATATTTTATTTATGTTAACTGATATCTGAATTTATTCTTGGACTTACAATTACATCATTTATGTTTATGTGTGTATAAACATATGAAATACTAGTGTACTTCTAACACTAGGTTTAAGAGAAAGCTATAAATGAATTTAATTAATTAATTAAATGTGTTTTTAGATTACTATACTGCAATTGTTTCTGTGTCCGTTAGGTGGTGGAATGTGGTGGCAAGGAAGAATAAGAAATGAAATGTGTATTGTGATTGAAGTTCTTCCTTTTAGACACTGCAGTGTAAGAATGAAAAGGAAGGACATGCATTATGATGTCATAAATCACATTTCATTATTTTGTCATAATCCTGGTTAGCTTTGGATGCCTATGTATTCATATGTACTGTAGAATTAATTGAAAGTAAGAAGATTCATATTTGCAGTCTTTAGATAGTCTCTGTTATTTCATCACAACAAATAAAAATATAAGATGAAAATTTTCATTTTTAATTTTGGATCCATGTATTTATGAAGTATCTTTTTCACATTTATGTTGTTCTGGTCAGTATTAGAGGAACAGAGCGATACTGTTATGTGCAATATGCTTCTTTTATTGTTATAGGAAAGTTTCATATATTCATTAAACACGAGCAAATATATTATATCCCCTTCTTAGAGATAATTTTAGTGGACATATCGGCAGCATACGCTGGTAGACTATCAGACACTTAGTTCACAGAGTCTCATTTCCAGGTAAAGATATATAGAATGACAAATTTAGTGTGTTGTGTCAGCAAAATATTCAAGCAACTGAACTTGTTAAATGTCAGATTGTTCTGCCAGCTTCCAGAAGACATCACTTAAAGTCTTGAAAAATTATCATCGTATAGCATGCTATAGCATCTTCATATTAGAGAGCTTTACCATTTATATCTTATTCAATTGCTTACTATTATTTTAAAAGAAGTGCCTATATTACACATTGAAATGCCACAAGCCAGTCTGGGCAAGATCTAATTAAATATGCAAGAAGGGTGTCTCTTCTCACAAGCCAAAAATGATACAGATCCTCTCAAATGGTTTTAGCATAATTAGGAAGGATGAAATATGAAATTTATAATAGGGATGGTGAAAACCATCTAAGAAAAAATGCAATCTGAAATTGGGTAGGGGAAGCAATTGTTAAAAAAAGAGAGATCTGTCAGAGAAAGAAGGAAGGAAAGAAGGAAGGAAGGAAGGAAGGAAGGAAGGAAGGAAGGAAGGAAGGAAGGACAGCAGTCAGACAGATATTTACTGGTATTATTCAGTCGAATTAACAGGAAAATAATAGACAAAGAATTCAACTATACTAATAGTCCTCTTAAAGACTATATAGTATAAATGACATAAAATGAAAATGTTAAATGACATTTGTTATTAAATGTTTGCCTTACAACATATTTAATCATCATAATTTCAGAAAAGATACATCTTTTTTTCAAAACCTATCCAAATTATAATTTACTCCAGAAACACTTTTAAATAGCAGATATAGGTACTTTTCTTGATTCAGAGGGAATGAGGAAGATGCATTTTTAACTTTACTTGCTGCAAAATCATATGAACACCTTAAATTACTGCACAATTAATAAAAGCAAAATCTAAAACAAATGCATACCAATCTGTCAATCGCGTTTTTGATAGCACGGAACCAGTCCAATATGATGAAGTCAATATCTGATTGAAGAAGGACCTCATTTCCTGAAACTGTTGTGACCTAACAATGAGAAAATGACATACCAGCAAACTGGTTGCTATATCATTTTATTTCAGTGTAATTCATCTTAAAAACTCTTCTGTAAGTAAAAATTAAAATCAGCAGAAAGCTGATTTTGTTATTTCAAACTATTAAGCTACTGTGACATTTCTTTATTTAAAATTCAGCAAATGTATGCATAAATAAAAAATCAATATAAGGCAAATTCCTTTTTTTTAAAGTGTTTGCTCCAGGACAGCTTGCATGATTGGCAGATTATGTCAGTCCATACTGATCTGGGCAGCTGGTCTGTTTGATACTATTTGCTCAAATAACATTTTAGAACAAGCTGCCTTTGAGATTGGTGTGGCACTGATTTTCATCTAAAACAACATTGCTAGGAAAAATTGAATACTCTATCTTAGGCTTGCCCTAGAAATTTAAAATGATGCTTAAAGTGAATGTGGATGATAGTTTGAATTTCTTGTACCAAATGCTTATATTTGTTTCCCTAATTCCTTCACTGTAGTGAAGTATCATATGATGAATAATGGGGGCTGCCACAAAGAAGAGGGAGGGCTGCCACAATGGGGGCTGCCATAAAGAAGAGGGAGTCAAGCTATTCTCCAAAGCGCCTGAAGGTAGGACAAGAAGCAACGGATGGAAACTAATCAAGGAGAGAAGCAACCTAGAACTGAGGAGAAACCTCCTGACAGAGCAATTTAATCAGTGGAACAACCTGCCTCCAGAAGCGGTGAATGCTCCAACACTGGAAGTTTTTAAGAAGAGACTGGACAGCCATTTGTCTGAAATGGTATAGGTTTCCTGCCTGAGCAGGGGGTTGGACTAGATGACCTCCAAGGTCCCTTCCAACTATACTATTATTAAGTACATATTAATAAAACACTTACAATATTTAGTACTAAAATATAAGTAGGCATAGGACTTACACCAAGCATAAGTCATATTCCTATTCATCACTTAGGGGACATGTGTTTAAAATACTGGTAATATCCCATCAACTTTTCCCATTGCTAAAAGTATTTTAGTTAGAAGAAGATGGGGAATTTTGACTGGCCTTCTATTTATGAACTCTCAAGAGATCATCTACAACAGAGTTTGCAGGCCAGAGTGACACAGTAGACAGAAAAGTTCTGTTACACTAAATATTTGTGCAAAATTGGATTATGCCCTTAACCAGAAATAATCTCAAGTCCAACTTTTACATAAAGAAAATCTCAAGAGCAGAAAATAGTGGACAGACTTAAATAGTAACAAAAGCAAATATTCGAATACTTGTCATCACAGAAGAATATTCAAATACTAGCAGAACATAAAAACGACCAGAATGCAGTGCCAATGAACATTGCATACAGCAAATTTGGGAGGCAAAACTCATTGAGGGGAACAGTTAGCAACTTTAAAGAAACAAAAAAGATTTGGATTGAATTGACAGAATTAATCTAACCAGGTTTATTCACACATTATTATGAGATAGTCTTTTTTTATATAGAGGGAAGTATCCAGGTTAATATTTTGTAGCAGATAAAACAAAGAATCTCATTGTTCCTTAAAGCTTATGAAATTTTGGGACTGATGTCAGAACATGGTTGCCTCAGCATGTGGGTGACAATACAAGATGTGTAAAACCCTCAGACAAATATTTTGCTCATATTTATTTCTGCTTGACAAACTGACAGAGCATCTCTATTTCTTTTATAAGAAATATGTTCCATTTATTTCATTTATAACAACACACAGATCTAAAATATATATTAGGAATATAGATTTGTGAAACATACATTGAGTTTTGTTGCTAACATATAATTAGAATAAATATTAACAATATCAATTCTATTTTCTATCTACTTGAGTTGATATCATTTGCTGTATGCAATGTTATTTGAATGACAACTTGTTTATTCAAATACATAGGAAAAGTTAACAAAATATAAATTCAACGAAACTGTCTTATGGTGTAAATACATATGTTCCTTCATTTGATCTTTCAGTTGGTACATTTTCCCCCTCAAGTGGTATTATAAGTAAAAGATGTATTAATATCACATGAATATCACAACCATGTATCAATCTTAATATGCTTCCACATCAAATAAAAATGAACTATTTGATGGCATAACTTTTGATTCCTCCCTAATATGTTTCTTCCATAACTTAGTCTCTTAATGTGGCTTTTCAGGTAATTTTTGATAATTAACATAGATCATAACTTAGTCTCTTAATGTGTTCCTGTGGACTTGTGGCTTTTCAGGTAATTTTTGATAATTAACATAGATCATAACTTAGTCTCTTAATGTATTCCTGTGGATTTGTGGCTTTTCAGGTAATTTTTGATAATTAACATAGATATACACATACCTAGTATTCCTAGGTAGAAAATATTGTCTCATTCTGCTCAAATATGCCAACTTCCAAAATAACTCTACACAAATCTTAAAAGCAGCTGTTGACTAAGACAGGTGTTCACAACCATTGTGTATTTTAAAATAGAGGAAAGTGGGTGTTAGTCACACAATTTTAAAATGCCATAATATTTAATGAACTTGAGGGATACAGATATAAGTATTTCATTCTTGTTTGGGACTGTGATTCTGTAGGATAAAAGACTGTGATTCTTTAAGGAGAGATGACCATTTCCACAAGTTTTCTGGGTTCAGCAAAAATGCAAAGGTGGGCCATATCTCTCACACATTTCCATTTTGGGTGACTTTCAAATATTTAATGTAACACTGTCAGTATAATCATGCAGAGAGAGAAAGTCATGGATTAGACTAAATGCAATGGTTAGTCCAGTCTAGTTTACATCTTCCAGCGCAAATATCACTTAAATTATTAATATAAATTTGGGAGTTTTGAAAGTAAAAACAAGACATAATTAGTGAATTTATTTTGAAGGCTTAAGAGGGATGTAACACTAAATACAAGCTTTATTAAAATACAAGTATTTCAGGACTGCATAAAAATATGCATTCTTATGATATGTAAAAAAGCTACTTCAGTGCTAACAAGCAAAGCAACATTCATTTTGAAAGTGTTTGTTTTAATGTGTTGTTTGTAATCATTGTAATAATTGGTGATGTATGGCTATATCAGCAAAAGTACATCACAGAACAGGGAAAAGTTAATTCATTTAAAATACTGTCTGTATCTCAAACAAGTCCTTTTCTCATAATCTTCAGAGTTACTAGACGGTTTCAAGAAGACTGCTACTGCTCTCTACAGTTTAAATGCATCCACTTCTTAATTATTCTCAGTAACTGACTTTCTTTTTCTCCATCTCTGACATTCAGAGACAACCACTACCCAAAATTTGAATTTGATTGAGTTAAAGTTTTATAGACACTTCTATATATTTTCTATTTAGATGCACCGAAGAAAAAAAATTGCTGAAATAATAGTTTAAATCATATTTACGTTACTAACAATATTGTTTTAAGACCTTCGAAAAACGTTCAGGGGGAAAATATGCCAGATTTTGTCTGAACAATCTACAGTCATAGCCCTAAGTAATCATATTAACACGACTTTGAACATCTTTCTTATCAAACATCAATAAGAAAACTTAGAGATATATGAATGGAAATTTGCAAATGTGTTCAGGAAAAGCAGCTACTTTTTTTATTTTGTTTGCACTCTTTTTGATTTAATAACTTTAAAAATACCTCAATGTTTCTGCATTCCATCATTTCCAAGCATACGTTCTAACATAAAGGGATAATGAATTAAGAGATTTCAGCAGCAGACTTCTTATAAGGGATAAAGGACGATACACAGTTTTCTCATTTCATTTTCGGCACTCATTCAAACGGGGGATTTTGAGTGATACGCTATGCCAATTGGAGGTCCAAATAAATAAAATGTAGCCGATCCTGTATTCTTCCCCCTGCTTTCTGAAAAGCTCTTGAAGTCTTGGTGAGAACAGCACGGATAGCTTTCCTATTTGTGAATCAGTTACATGAAGCTGCATCATCTATTCACAATTTAAAATAGTTGATATATATGGCTAACTTGATTCATAACACTGTCTCAGTTTAGATGAGTGGTTTTCTCAGTGGTTTATTATATTCTCTCTCCCTTTATTTTAAATATTCCCCTAAAAGGGGAAAGGATAGAGGCATGGGAGAAAAACATGCACTCTTGCATCTAACATTTTGAAACTAATCAGTGATATTTTTCAATGGACTTTCTTGATCTTTCCCCCTTTTGCTTCTTCAGTGGAGATTAAAAATATGTTTTACCTTTATCCCTTCAGTTTATCTCTGTCATTTTTCTAGGCAGCTGGACACACTTTTAAACAGTTCTCATCTCATTTTTTAAAAATATCCATAAGATTCCAATGTTTGAAACTAGCATTTTGATCAATAGCACTCTAGCTTTCCTTGCATTTTTTAAATAAAGAAATTAAACTAATCCTAATAAAATTAAGTGAAGCATAGAGCAGGGGAGAAGAAACAAATTGTAGTTTCTATGGTTGCAACGTTATGTGTCTAGGTACTAGTTCTGATCTTCCTTCCTTTCTTCTCTGTTTCATTTCAGAAAAAGGATGTCAAAAGAAAAGTTCATCACAGGATAGATTTTAATTCATTTATTGACCATAGAAATATATCTACTTACTCCATATTGTTTTTTTCCATACTAAACATGCCCGTGGAAAAATTCACTAAGTAGGATATAAAAACAATAGGTAGTCCAGTATTATACATTAGAAGCACATCTTTTTAGAAATATTTGGTGGAGAGATATGAGACAGTATAACTATTATTCTGTCCCAGAATCTATGATAAAAATCTTATTGGAAAAAAATGTTGTTATATTTTTCTCTCCAGATGCTGCAGAGAATCATTTTCCTAATATTTATTTCTTCCCTATCAAACTAAGAACTTATGAAGCTTAATTCAAGGAAAAAACTTATTTATTTGTTTACAGGATGTATTTATTATTTACATATTACATTGTCACATTTTCTCCTACTTGCTGGATCACAAAAATCCAGCTGACTA